TGGTCATCCCAGTCGGATTGATCCATTTCGGCGACATATGCCCGAACGCTCCGAATGAATGTCTGTACAGACCTCGCCTGTTGCCCATTCGCTTGTGAACGATATCCGAGCGTAGCACGTTGTCTGCTACCTAAGAGTTCCCGGAACCTGGTGAACACTTCACTCATGAACCGCGGATCTGGGTCGTGGCGTATCATGGAAGACGCACCGAATCTCTGGAACACTTGCTCTTCATAGGCCTCAGCGATATCTTGATCGGTAGTAGATGACATGGGCTTACACATCACGTAACCTGAAAACATGTCCTGAAACAACAAGAGGAACATATTCCCTCGAGCTGACTCGGGCATATGAGTCACGAAATCCATAGAAACTGCTTCGAAGGGATACCGTGGTTCGATACTTCCTGGCGAAGATCCAGCATTCGGGGGCGCCCCTTTTCCGCTGGCACAATCCACACATTCTTTCACAAAATGTTGAACGTCCGCATACATGCCAGGCCAGTAGAACTCGGTACGTAACTTCTCGTGAGTCCGAGTGATCCCTTGATGTCCACCTTGGAAGTCCTCATGCGCGTGATGCCACATGTCTTCTCGGAGTGAACTCGGGACTACCAGTCTCAGATTATCCACGGCGTCTCGTGGTCTTCCACGAACAGAGTGTGGGAGTCTGTACAACACTCCTCGATCATCCAGAACGAACAGGTCTGCGACCTTACCGATCTTCTTCAGGCGTGTGGATGAGAATCTATCTAGGTCGTCATTTAGAAACGCCCTTATATCAGCTAGATGCTGCCTGGAACTCTAGCGGTCCCATGGGTGCAACCTCACTGCCATCAGCTTCTTGAGCTCGCACTCTCGTGAGTACAGCCATGCCTCGGGCGGCTGAAGGTAGAGGGGCACATTCAGGGCCAGGACCATGTCTCGTTCCTGAATCGCCATCTTCTTCACCAGGGTCTTGTACGATGTCTCCACTGCGAATTCGAGCGTCTATGTTTTCGGACGACTTCACCAACTGCTCGCGGATCTTAGACACTACTTCCAGGTGTTGTTTCTCGGGATCATCCTGAACAATCCAGGATTCACCTCGGACAAGGTTTTCGATGTCAGGTAATCAGCGGCCTGGTTGAACTCGCGCTTCATCATCCACGTAATTGACTGTTCGAATTGTTTGTTATATTGTATTTATTCAATACCTGACTCTATGAACATTACTAGAGCAAAGCCGTAGTTAGCGAGAGGACTTAATGAAAATCGGATTCTTGAGTCCCCCACAACGACTGTGGTGAAGTGGATCAAGATTTTCACGTGAATAAGACCAAGT